ACCTCTGAGCCCAGCTCCTGGAAAGTCAATTTGCTTGGTCTGTTCCGCAAATATTTATGCGACATCTACTTGAAACAGGAGATTGTCAGGGCTGACAGGCGCCTGAAAGACCATCTGTGACTCGTTTCATCCATTCGAAGTGAGAAAACCAAATACCAAAAGGTTATGAGGTCTAAGATCAAATAACCATCATTTGTTGAGTGTTTCCTATGAGCCACTCAGCTAAGTACTTTCAAGGCATTACCTCATCGATTAGAACATAGTTTTTCCGAATTAAAGTTTACGGTTGCAACCCAGCATGGAAACGAGGAGGGAGAGATGCTTGGAAAACAGCCTCTCCTGGACTTTCCCGTTAATTAATTAATGGGAAAGACGAGGCTTGTGACTCCTGTAAAGAGCTGCAGCCTCAAACCCACAGGGCCAGTTCTACCCTTGAGTCAGTATGGAGTTAATGGCTGTGAGTTTCTGCTCGTTGGAAGGAGGCCTGGTGGCTAGTTAGTTACGGATTGGGCTGTGAACTGCAGTTAGAGCCCACCAGCTGCTCCACGGGAGGAAGATGAGTCTTTCTGCACCCCTGAAGATTTACAGATGAGTGTTAAAAGTATTTGTGGACAATACTGAAGAATGCTGAGAGATGTATGAATATACAAAGCTGGCTCACTACTGGTGACAAACCAGGCAAACAAAACCTCTAATTGCTTTGTTTTGATCACGTTCATTTCCCTTCAGCTGTCAATTGTGAACTACTTGGCTGGAGTGGGCAGCTCCCCTGCCAATTGCCTCCTCCCACCCTTAGCTAACAATGATACAGCTGCTTTGTTGCCCAGCCTTCTTAACACCAGGGTGTGGACCTGTATGACGGGACTGACTTGCTTTTACCCTAAACTTTTCTATGCTATATTTTCCTTTAGTGGAATATTTTACCTGCCAAATCAGATTCCTTAATACCCATGCTTACCTACCTAGGAAAACTCTCTTGACAATTCCACAAAGATCTGTTTAGTAGGTTGACTCTAGCATTACTTGATCAATCGTTTTCAACAGATGCTTGAAGGTTTTTTTAATGCTCCTTTTCCTAAGAAGTATTTTCTGTTTGTTTCTGCCCGTATACATGGTGAAAAGGTATCATTCATTTTGTTTACCATGTCTAATATAAGGTCTGACACAGTAGATATTCAATACCTGGTTTGCTGAAAGTTCAATAGCATGTATGTTCTTACATGTCAAGAACCAGATGTTTGTTCAAAGCAAGAGACATATTGCATATTTTAAGTTTACTGACAAAACTATAAAGAGTGTTTTCTTACTTATGTAGTCCTAGTCCAAGTATGTCTTTGTTGGCTAACACAGAAGAATTGTGAAGTGATGGGTATTTAAGGAGCCCTGGTGGCTTAAAGCTTAAGCACTTGGCTGCTAGCTGAGAAGCTGAGAGGTTAGTAGTTCAGACCCACCGGCAGCTCCTCAAGAGAAAGATGTAGCAATCTGCTTTCTTATGGTTTTAAACCCCCGGGAAACCCCATGGGTTTTTCACTCTTGTCACGTGAGGTCTCTATGAATCAAAAACACCTTGATAGAACCTAACAGCAACCACAACCTGTGTAGTGCACATCTAAATAGTGTCTCTGGTGGGTCTGAACTAGTTGGCACCATAACTTCACACGTAAGTTTTTATGTACATTCCATGGTCTGTGAAAGCGACTCCAACTAGCGAGGTCTGTAGGGAGAATTCTTCAAATACATTTCTTGACAAGAATTTTTTAAAAACCTCACTGCCATCAAAGCAATTCTGACTCAGCAACTCGATAAGGACAGAGTAGAACTGCCCCTTTGAGTGCCCGAGACTTTGGTGGCATGGTGGTTACGAGTTGGGCTGCTGACTGTAAGGCCAGCAGTTCGATACCACCATCTTCTCTGTGGGAGAAAGACCAGGCTTTCAACGTTCATAAAGACTTACAATCTTGGAAACCCACGGGGACAGTACTATCCTGCCCTATAAGGTCCCTATGAGTCAGAATTGACTCCATGGTAGCAGTTTTTTCATTTTTATGGGATTAAAAAGCCTCATCTTTCTCTCATGGAGCGAATAGTGGTTTTGAACTGCTAACTTTGTGATTAGCAGCCCAATCGGAATCCACTACACCACCAGGTCTCCTTGTTAAATAAGGCATTCAATATTATGAACCTAAGCAATAAAAACAGGGAAGCAAGAAGCAGCTTGAAATAGTGAACTAATTAATGGTCACGAGGCCTGGCTACAGGTTCATAAATGTGTCTCTGGGCCATGATCTGATGACCAACTGTAGATCTTGACCTTTTTTAAGAGTGAGGGAGTCAGAGAGTCTCCAATATCCTGGTGAATCTTCACTAGTGGAAATACACTTAGATACATACATAGATATATGTAGTAGATTACCTGGGTTTTTATATTTGTATTTTGCATTTGCCTTACTCTGTGGCTTTTTCTTTCCTTTCCCCCCCGCCCCAAACAATACCAAGTCACTAGGATGTAGCAAGCACTATTTTAGGCACTTGGATATTTCATTGTTTTCCCATACAAGTCCAAAACTAAACTTTGGATTCACACACACAAGCACTCACAAACACACACACACACCCTGTTTCTCTATTATTCTAGCTGCTCAATCCAAAAACTTTGGGATAATCTTCTGCAAGTATCTCCCATAGTAACACACTTCACTTTAACCACACTGGCTTTCTTGGTATTCTTGATTCATGCCCAGCATGTTTCTACCTCAGTGACTTTGCATTTGCTCTTCCTGCCATCCAGGATCAATGTAGTCTTCCCCATTCCCACATTACCAACCTCATTACTTCATCCATGTCTCTGCTTACATATCACCTCTGGAGTTCACGTTCCTCATGATTGCAATCATAAGAAAATAGCAAGCATTCCTATTGGGCTGCTAACCACATGGTCAGCAGTTCTAAGCCACAGCCATGTCAAATAAAGATCTACAGTCTTGGAAACCCAGAGGGACCACTCACTCTGTTCATGAGGGTCCCTCTGAAGCACAGTTACCCCGCTGTCCATGAGTTTGGTTTACGTTTTTGTCATTCTCTTTTCTTTTTCATCAGATACACGGTGCCTTTCTTTCTTTGTTGCCTAACTTTCCCACGTAAAATGTGAACAATATGCTCCTGTGCCTACAACAGCACCTGGTACATAGGAGGTGCTCAATCAATGTTGAATGGATGACGAGCGAATGGGTGTTGGTCAAGTGAAGTCTCTTAAAGAAAGGTTCCATCAGTGTGTCAGGTCTCGATTCACTGAAATGGAAAGTCTTAATCATTTTGAATGGCTGATTTTTAAAACTGCCTGTTTTCTTCTTCCAGAAAAGCAACATGTCATCCTCTATATGTCATCCTCCAAACTAGGGCAGTCTCCACCCCGAGTGCCAGCAGCCCTCAGGAATTGCTGAGGAGAGAAAGTCTTAGAGTTTCACTGAAGAGGATGAAGACAAACATATTTCCTTCTCATCCTAAACCCTGCCAGGAGCTCCCTCTTTCAGGTTACTTATAATACTAGCTTCTCTGGTGACTCAGAAGAAGTTGCACAAAAAAAAGAAAAAAAGTACACTCTAAAAAAGACTGTAATGTCGACATGCTCATAGATGTCCCCTGTGTGTGTCACGTTCATCCTAACTTGCTTTTCAGATGTTATATTTCACAATAAGCTTACTTGGTGGCTGAAACGGAGCTGCTGCTTCTTGCAGCAGGTGTGGCACTTCTTTTAACTTGCTCCTACTTGCAAGTTCGCTCTTAGAGAAAACTCCTGACTATATGGAAAATATCACAGACATCTAAAATGATTAAGAGTAGACAATTATTGCTCGATAGCTTCGAGGCATTCAGCAGTCGTAAAATGTGTGTGCGTGTGTGTGTGTCTGTGCGTGTGTGTGTGTGTGTGTGTGTGTGTGTGTGTGTGTGTGAAATCATATACTCGAAAGTGGTACATGATGAACCATTCCGAATGTCCCTGGTGGTCTAGAGAATGTACCATTAAGAGATGAGAGAAAGCATATTAGGGATTACCCAAATACCTAAGTTCAAAAAGCTAAATCCCACAAAAATCTAAAATTTAAAACATTATTTTGAGTTCTCACTAAAAGATGCTCTAGAGATAGGGGACTTTGGCTATAGATTTATATTCAGCTACAGTAAATTAAGCTGTCATTGTGATATTTATGTACTCTTCTAGCTAATAAGAACTGGGCAGTGTTTCCTTCTGTTCCATGTAGGCTCTCTACAAATCAGAACCCATTGACGGTATCTAACAATAACAATGTAACTGTCTAATAAATCACAGAGAATCCCATTGCTGAGTCTTTGGGATATTCCTGGAGTACACAGATTGAAGGCCATTACCAGCTGTCCAATTTTTCCAAGTATTATGAATTGAATTGTATTGTGTCCACAGATAAAGATTGAAACCCTGGCCACATGCTGTTGTGATTGAATC